CTCAAAAACAATTCGCATCGAGCATGGCTCATGGCCACGATATACGTACCAAAAAAAGCTTTTCGAATTGGGGTCATGAGCGTGATTCCGATAACCATAGCCAAAGTTATGGCCAAATTTCCAAAATTCGTTCAAATGTCACCAAATTAGGAAAATACTACGTTCACTTGCCATATTTGCGTTGATCTGCCAACTCGTGATATTTTACCGCAATCAACGTGTTGTCGACAGTTCAGTGTCATCTGAGTCGGATGCTCCTGCATCAGTATGCCAAAAAAGAGAAAGATTTGAGACATTTACTTCAATTATCCCTTAAATCAATGATCTAGCATTCATAATATTACCATGCAAAACTTCACAAACAAGGGAACGAGAAAGATTAAAATTAAAAAGAATAAGAATGAGAGAAAAGTTTTACGTATGACCTAATAGCTAATGTCTTATTCGGGCGCAGATCTGCAATGGGGTCAGCTGTCCCCACACCCGTGCCCAAGTTTTTTTTTTTTTTAATATGTTAGCCCATGTTAAAATCAAAATCGGCCCATGTTCCCATCAGTCCAACCCAAAGCAAAAAAATTAAAACTAAACTTTTTTACTTACCTTAGCCCAAGCCCAAAACAAATAAAATTAAAAGCAAACATGTCAGCCCAATTCCCATATACCCAAAAGCCAAAATGTAATCTTCCCCATTGCTCTTTATTCTAAGTCTCTCTACAAGTGCGATTGCATTTTTAAATTTTTTTTCTCTCTCTCAATCTCAATGTGTTGATCGTGCACCTTGCGTTTTCTCAAATTAAGGTTTCTTCTTCTTCGATTTTATTTTGTATGTCCCTCTCTATTAATCTTTTTTTTTTTTTAATGATGTATAGTACATTTATGTAAGGCATAAATAGATGTTACCCATTTGTGTAAAGTTGTTTATTTATTTATTGAAGACAAATTGAGTTGGGTTTGGCTAACGAAATAAGGGTGGGCTCTGAATCTGTGTTTGATTCAGGATGAGAGAACCGATAGGAGGTAAAGACGTAAAAGAAGTGGTATTTGGATTTTCGGGTTCAGCCCATGTTCATGGCTTTGATGAGTGATCCCAAGAGAAAAATTAGAAGATGAGAAAACAGATATTCAAGTGGCTGCTGTCGTAAATTAAAAATTTTCGTACTTTTTAACTGCACAATATTCAAAAAATTCATATTCAAAATATCATTTTTTTTCCTCGATAATGACCATTATTTTTTATATTGTCGGGAGAATAATTAGTCGCCACTCCACTTTGGGTTGTGCTTCAATTGATTGAAAATTGACAGTAAATACTGTTCAATTTTGTCGTTATGTTCACATTGTAACTGCTATTTTCTTGGAAAACTTATAATATTTTTACTTATTTTGACACAGATAGGAAACTCGTTTGACTTTTCAAAAAATAACATGAATGCAATCCCAGATTAGACAACTAATCCATTAATTTAAATCAAACTACTAGCTTAATTCAATTTAAAATCTGTAGCTGGAGAATGGAGTAATGCATTGGATTTGGACCATTGACTAGATCTTCCTTAATTTCTGGCATCGGAGACAGTCAGAAGGACAATCAGTAGTTGACGATCCATCATATTGAGATGATGGCTCGATAGTCACTGCCCTGGCCCATTTTTTCTAGTCTCTAGAGGATTTATTGAGATTTCAAGTTTCATTGTTTGGCACCAATTCTTTTGAAGAATGAGTTTTT